CACCGAACCCACTTGTATACTGTAGTGACGGGGGCTTCTGCACCCATACGAGTGTGGAGGGGGGGGGGGGTAGCTTAGCTCATTAAGGGTATATAGCGAGGACTGAAGTGATCCATCAACGGTAAACGTGGCAGAGATAACGCGGCAGAGGCTGTATATTGTTTAACATAGAGGCGTGGAGAAATACCCAGGGTCAAGACCAAGAACTGTGGCATGAAGACGTGTGCCGACTGCCAAGGCACATAATAACGATGATGAGACTCAGTTCACCCTGGCCTCCCATCTGCTACCTCAAAAATACAGTACAGTGTTTACAGACATGGTAGGCGTATATGGCATAGTCATTCTGGGGTACTAGTTCCAGCTGCGGGGGAATTGGCAGCAGACCGCTTGCCGTTGGTTTCGACAGTGGTATTAAAAGCCCCCCGTCACGGAGGCTTTGGCAAACTACAAAAGTAAAACTGCCTTGTAAAACCCCAGTATAAAAAAGTGTGTGGTCTGTTCTGCAACAACCATCTAAGTAAATTTCATTACCGGATGACACCAACAACAAGGACAACCACACGAAAACAAAAACACTGCGTCAGTGGTGGCCGGTCGCATAGAAAATATGGACGGCTATCTCTTAATTAAATCACTGTTTGCTTTCTTTACATTAATTATAATTTTGTAAAACCGGAGACCAGGAGGAAGTTCTAAAGGAACCAGTATTTGTCTCTTTAAAAGAGTGTCTTCTCATTTCCTTTTCCAAAACATTTACATTACAATAGCACGTTGGATCTAGTTGTGCCCGACCGGCTAGAATGACGCACATTAAACATCGCAGGATGTGTGCTTAGACTCTGACTCTTGACTCATATTTATAGAAGATGACAAACAATACCAGACTCTACCCGACATGGACAAGCCGTCTATATTTATTTCTGTAAAACCTTCGCTGCAATGGTTTTTACTGAGACTGATATAAGATGCTGCAGCAACAGTGTGACGGCTATCATACTTGCCTCTCCACTCAGTGGTTATAAGTTAGGGCTGTCCTCCGAATAACGGTCGTAAATTATCGAGGTGGAAAATATACACTAACAGGGCCTCAGTCACGTGTCAATTGCGCACTTCCGTCGTCTTAAAATGCGCGCTTACGGCGACTTCCGCCACCGCCAAATAGCGAACTTTCGGCAACTCCCGCCACCGCCGAGAGTGTCCCACACGCCGCGTGGATTGGGGCTAAACTAGATAGCAAGAACTCACGAGCAGCAGCTACCGCATCTCCTGCAGCTTCCTTCATTTTATTTGCTCGTGATTCCTAGCTTTCTAGTTTAGCCCCAATCCATTCGGCGATGACGTTATAGTCCCCGGAAGTGCGCATTTGACACGTGACTGAGGCCCTGTTAGGGGATATTTTCCGCCTCGATAATTTACGATCGTTATTCGGAGGATAATGGAGGGGTATATTCCTGGGAAGAGAGGAAGAGGAAGGCCAAGGAGAAGATGGGTGCAGGATGTGGCAGATGATCTCCAGATGGGTGTATCAGACGCAGGACATCTTGCTCATGATAGGAAGGTTTTCCGGAGGGTTGTTATGGCAGCGAGGTTCCGCGAGGGACATGCTACTGAATGAATGAATGAATTCGGAGGATAGCCTAAGTTAGAACATCCACCCAGGCTGATATGACCATTTCAATTGGACTCTGTGTTGATCTATTCTAAAACAAGTATTAAGAAATGGAAAGCGAAGGAGTAAATAAAAGGCATTCAGTATATATTGATCGCATTATGCACAGAGAATGCATAATATGAATCTACTAAGAAGAAAATACCATAATATACCAAACGACATGTAAAGGGAGACCTTTACTTTTACAACAAAATGAAACGCAACCTTTTATCAAAAAAACAACAGCAGATTTTTCTGCATATGGCACCCATTAACGATGGAGCTCCTGGAAAACAAAACGTCCATTGAGTATTCGAGAAATGGTGAACCGACTTCCGGTTTCAGGATGACGGCAGAAAAGTATAGCCCGCGAAAACAACATAACGGCACAGTCAAAACATTAACTAATAAATATTGGGACAGCATTATAAAAAATTAACGTATGTCGGTGGACATTACTAGAAGTAAAAGAATATCTTCTGGAACGGGTTCTGGGGCCTCATTTTTTTGGGTGAGAGGGGGGGGGGGCGGAGATCCTCTGTTCCCTAGCAAGGATGTTGTAAATGGCGACTAATTGAATGAATGTTGAATTTAAAAAAAACGACATCATAGCACGCAGGAACTCCCATTAGCGCACTGTCCCCATCTTCAGCAGCAAGCAAAGTGTTCCTGTTCCGATGGCACCACTAACACTGATTGTGTATCCGTCTCGCTTTTCCCCTGAGTGTTGAGCGTCAGCCAGATCACCCGGCAACTCCTCGTAGCGCCATTCTCCTCAGACCGTAATGATCTGTTTGAGCTTCTGCACTGTTCACTCGCTCCCAGAGGGCTCTCGCAACATTTAGTTTGTCGTGCATCAATTCACCACCAAGTGGTACAGAACCGGCCAATCTATCTGTCTGCTAATTTCTTAACACACCGGCATGACCTAGAGAGAATATCCAATGGATGTTAACTGCCCGGGACTTCTGTCCCATCTTCAGATGGTGCTTAATTAGGGGAGTTTCTTTCGAAGTCGGAATGTACCTGTCTGAAAGGTGAGGAACCAACAGTCTGCTTAAAAATCGGTAAGATCGGTAAAACTAATAGTCTGCATACAAATCAGCTAGATCGGCGTAACAGACCAAAGTCAAGATGTGGACACACACACACACACAAATTCCGCCAGTGTTTTGGTCCAGCAAACACTAAGAAGATGGAGTAGAAAGGGTAAAAATATATTGTCGTCTATTTAATAAAGTAAATGTTTACCAAACCGGATGATGATATCACTAAGAGGACAATACTTACTGTAGCTTTAAAATATCTGCACAAGCTGGCAAGTAATGCATCAGCGCAACCGGGAACTCTATAACAACAGTCTTCGGACCCAGTCCATCTCTATCATCCTGAGTGTACTCATTAAGTCCCTGAAAAAAAAATCATAGGCGGGCAAAAGTTTGTGTCTCCAGCCATGTTATTGCTTTGGTCACTGCTATGACCTCTATAGTCTGACTCGATGATCGACGGGGTGAAGATCTCTCCTGAAGCTTTTACCTCAATAACATGTTTGTGCTACCTATTTTAGACTATTACCAGCAGCGGAGGCCAGGTCAGTGTCAAAGCCTTCACGTGTGGTTTGCGGGGCCCCATTGTAGGAGGGGGGGTGGGGGTGGGGGAAGAGAATAGACCATCTGCCTCCTCAGCAAGCATATCGTACAAGCAAACTTATTGCGGCTTCTTCCGAAATTGGAGAAAATCTAAATGGTAGGTAAGGAACCAACAGCCTGCATATAAATAAGCCAGATCTGTAAAACTGATGTACATGCAACACTCGTGTTCTGGGACAAGACTAAATCTAAAAGTAGACGAACAACCAGAACTTTTCACTGAGGTTTACAGTCGGTGAAAGCGAAGAAGTGGAAGAATTACAATTCTTCTCGGTGCAAATTTGAATCCAAAACGTTCATACCGACAATCAAGCGACCAACAACTGCGCTACGCCTGATCCCTTGACATCGGCCAAACCATTCGAATTATTTTATTGCGAGATGTTTGTAGTACGACCTATAGCACATGCCTTTTTGTGATCTCATGTTACAGAAGATGGAGACTAATACTAACACAGGACTAAAGTTGACAATCATTGTCAATCATCCTCTATTGACAGAGCCACCCAGTCTCCATCTAGTGTAGAGCCTGTTCACAACGGTTATTAAAGCAGTTTTATTTCTACACCACGAAGGACATGTTTGACTGGTATATCATATTCAGACATCTTTTTGTGAGTGCCTTGTTCTTACATCGTCAGTTCATGAGTTTAGTCAAACTTTAGTGAAGACGGAGTCGCCAAGTATAGTAATAGAGTATCCTATTGACTATTAGTATTATTGTATCTGGCGTCTGCCCAGAAAAAGAAAAGTAGAGGTTTCTAGCTTTGATAGAAATTATCGCTCAGAAGTAAAACAGAAGCGTTCGTGGTGGATAATTCTTCATAATCTTGGGGAAAAAAAGGAACAGAGACCAATTAGCATCTCGTTGATTAATTTATCATGATTCCACAAGACTTGTTGTTAATACTAAATAATAGTAATACAGCTGGAACTTCGATGTAATGGCTAATAGCAGTCCCAGCTTCAAAGCAAACAAAGGGTCAGATCATAGTTGCTCTATTCCTGTTCCTATCAAAGCCATACAGAATGTCCATCACAAGGCATCAAGAAAAATATTTAAAAACTGCTGACCAGCCAGTCTGGTATAATGTTTGCTTATACTATTAATACTCATTTCAGTGTTGGGAATTCATGAGGCCATTGAAGTTACTTGAAGTAGCTGGAAAAATCAATTCAGCAGTATTGCCACAGAATACCCACTGCCTACCCAAAAGCATGTCGTAAGAGTTGACTAACTGGCTTTCTTCAAAGTCGGAGTGCATCTGCCTGAGAGGCAAGGATCTAGCAGTCTGCATACAAATGAGTCAGATCTGTAAAATGGATACACACACAACACTCAGTTTCTGGAACAAGACTGCAGTCTAGAAGTGGACAAACAACCAGAACTTTCCGCAGGATTTTACAGCTGGCGAACACAAAGAAAAAGAAGACATACATGTGCGCACACACACACAAACTTGCAGGCAGGCACGCACACACACACACATACACACAAATAATGCACACATACATACACACACACATACATACATACACACACACGTGTGCATACATACTTTTGATATTATTGACTGTACATGAAACATGAGAATGTGGATACATGCTTACCAGTACAACATAGCATTAATTATAAGAAGCTGACCTTTTTGTTTGTTTTTGTGTGAATTAATTTTCACAGATTGAAGAAGTCAGAGATGCATGAGCTGTTTGAGCAAGTACTCTCTAAGAAGGATCTTTCCAAAGCAGGAGAACTTTTCTCTTTAGAGGACGATGCCATTGAGAATGACCTTGAGGAGATTGTCCAACAGATTAAACAGATTGCAGACGCTGAAGAGTATGAGTCTAGCGACAATGATCAGAGCGTGGTCGAAATTTGCATCACTCGGATTACTACAGCAATAAGGTTTGCTAAATGTGAACTGGTTTTATTGTGATTATTTGTGTGTGTTTGGATTAAAAGGTTCTACATGAGGGTTCTAGGGCTCATTGTGGAGACAAAAGAACAGATCCACTGCCCTTTAATAAAGGCAACTAATAAAGGGTTTGCTCTCATCAAGTTTGCTTGACCCCAAAGATACAGATTTTACAGCCTTGCTGTAAACCACTACACTGTATGCCAACCGCTGTTTAAAGGGTAAACGCAGAAGAAGAATGAAACGTAAAGGTGGCTCCTGTAGGAGATGTTGCTCTGGGGGTGAAGTGTGAAGTCTTAGTTCACACTTACTAGGCCATGTTGTAATTAAGTATGGGTGTAGTACTGGGGGGGGGGGGGGGGGGGTCGGGGGAGTGTGAAAAATGTAGGTTACACTTACTAGGCCATGCTGTAATTAAGTACGGGGGTTTGAAGTGTGAAGCCATCCTGTAATTAAGTATGGGTGAAGTACGGGGGTTTGAAGTGTGAAGCCATCCTGTAATTAAGTATGGGTGAAGTACGGGGGTTTGAAGTGTGAAGCCATGATGTAATTAAGTATGGGTGGCCATGTTTTGTTCCTGATCACCTCTCCTTTCCAAAAAAATTACAGAACATTGCTTGGCTATTTGAGGCTTGATCAACATCAGAGCTGTGATAGAAATGGCAGTTCTGCGTCTGCTAGAGATTCCCATCATTCTCCACCAGTGTTGTTAACCATTAAAAGAACGGCAGAGTGGAATGTAATAAAAAATACGTTCTTGGAAAGATTCCATTGTCATTTAATAGAATAAGTCTCCATTGTTTCTTGTGTAGTTGCTGGAGCTGCATTTGCAAGTTGAGCGGCACAAGTGGTTGTTGAGTATTAATTTGTTTACACTTACAGTGACCACAGACATTGCAACATTTTCCCAACCCGTAATCATTACCAGAAAGCAAACAGAGCCAGATTTCTCTCCATCTTTTCACTGGACAACCTGGTAACAGGCAGTAGCTTAGCTAGCGATAGGAAAAGCAGAATTGATCTCTGTTGGGCTGAAGCCTTCGAAGGATTCAATAATTTAATCTTGTAAGATTGCAAGAACGACTGTTTTTGCTCCATTGTTCTCTTCTTTTTTTTGTTTTTTCTCTGAGAGAAGCGATGAAGCGAGTCTTGGGGAGTGAATCTGGTGTGTGTATCCAGCCACTTTTCTTGGATACTAGATTGTATTAATGTTTTGGTCTCTTGGTGGGTTAAGTCACTCTTTGGTTGTACCATGTCACTGCCGCTTCTGGCCAATCTGTCAGCCATTTCATTGCCTTCCAAGCCACAGTGACCTGGAATCCACTGCAGTACAATTGTTCTACTGAAGAGCCTAAGTCTATCAGCTGTTGTGTCAAGTCTACAAACTGAGTGTCTTTGGGGATAACAATTGCTTGTAGAACTGACATAGCATCAGTCAGAAAGACCACTCTGCTATATTTGCTGTGCTGTTGTCCATTCAGGAAAGTCTATGCTCTTTACCCATTAGAGCAGCGGTTCTCAGCCTATGGGTTGCCACCCCTTTTTTAGTCGAACGACCCTGTCACATAGGTCACCAAAGATCATCGCAAAACAAATAATCATTGATGTTATGAAGTAGAGATGAAAATAATTGTATTGTTGGGGGGTCATCATAACATGAGAAACTGTATTAAAGGGTCGCCACATTAGGAAGGTTGAGAACCACTGCATTAGGGGTTGATTGGCGTATTGTTTTTCTTCGCCTCTTGACCAGTTTTCGTCATGCTTTTTCTGTGACAGCTGTTATCTTTGTTGTCATGCAAGTACGTCTGTGACAGCTGTTATCTCTGTTGTCATGCAAGGGCCTCTGTGACAGCTGTTATCTTTGTTGTCATGCAAGTGCCTCAGTGACAGCTGTTATATTTGTTGTCATGCAAGGGCCTCTGTGACAGCTGTTATCCCTTTTGTCATGCAAGGACCTCTGTGACAGCTTTTATCCCTGTTGTCATGCAAGGGCCTCTGTGACAGCTTTTATCCCTGTTGTCATGCAAGGGCCTCTGTAACAGCTGTTATCTTTGTTGTCATGCTAGTGCCTCTGTGACAGCTGCTATCTTTGTTGTCATGCAAGTGCCTCTATGACAGCTTCTTTGTCTGTTGTCATGCAAGTGCCTCTGTGACAGCTGCTTTGTCTGTTGTCATGCAAGTGCCTCTGTGACAGCTGTTATCTCTGTTGTCATGCAAGTGCCTGTATGACAGCTGCTTTGTTTGTTGTCATGCAAGTGCCTCTGTGACAGCTGTTATCTTTGTTGTCATGCAAGTGCCTCTATGACAGCTGCTATCTCTGTTTTCATGCAAGTGCCTCTGTGACAGCTGCTTTGTTTGTTGTCATGCAAGTGCCTCTATGACAGCTGTTATCTCTGTTGTCATGCAAGGGCCTCTGTGACAGCTGTTATCTTTGTTGTCATGCAAGTGCCTCTGTGACAGCTGTTATCTTTGTTGTCATGCAAGTGCCTCTGTGACAGCTGTTATCTTTGTTGTCATGCAAGTGCCTCTATGACAGCTGCTATCTCTGTTGTCATGCAAGGGCCTCTGTGACAGCTGTTATCTCTGTTGTCATGCAAGTGCCTCTATGACAGCTGCTATCTCTGTTGTCATGCAAGTGCCTCTATGACAGCTGCTATCTCTGTTGTCATGCAAGGGTCTCTGTGACAGCTGTTATCTTTGTTGTCATGCAAGTGCCTCTATGACAGCTGCTATCTCTGTTGTCATGCAAGTGCCTCTATGACAGCTGCTATCTCTGTTGTCATGCAAGTGCCTCTGTGACAGCTGCTTTGTTTGTTGTCATGCAAGTGCCTCTATGACATCTGCTATCTCTGTTGTCATGCAAGGGCCTCTGTGACAGCTGCTATCTTTGTTTTCATGCAAGTGCCTCTATGACAGCTGCTATCTCTGTTGTCATGCAAGTGCCTCTGTGACAGCTGTTATCTCTGTTGTCATGCTAGAAGTACAAATGACAGGGGCAGACAATGATCCATAGTGAAATACTGCTGCTTATTAATGTATGAATAGAGAGGGACGGGGAAGGAAATATGTAAAGGAGAGAAGTAGAGAAAGTATATTTATATTGCTGAATCTGTAATTTCTGTCTGATTACCCGACAGAGAATCTGACAAAATAGAGAAACATGCCCAGCCTCTTGTTGACCTTCTGGCCATGTGCCTCAAACATAATCTGACACCAAAAACCAGAGATGAAGACCCACCGCATGCCAAGATTGCTTCAGATGTTATGAGCCGACTGTTCTCTGTGAGTTTTTGTGATGTTTGACTACATGCAACCTCCATTGACACCATAGAAGTGACAAAAAGCATTCAGGTTCCAGAACTAGTTAGATAAATATTTGTCATTTTATGTCCTGGGGCTCCAGGTCCAGTTGGGCATTGAATTTGTCCTCAATTCATAGTATTAGCCGTTCTTTTTTTCTTTTTTTAAATTTCAAATGGTTTTTATTTTTTATATACAACATCATCATCATCATCAGGTGACATGCCAGCTGGCATAAGCGTTTGTGCATCTCCACAGATCTCAATCTTTGGTGTTCTAGATCAGTTCTACTGATGATGTCCCTCCACGCCACAGTCTTGAGCTGTGCACCATAGCTTCTCTTGGTCTGCCTCTTCTACCAGTGATCTTTCCAGTCGTCACAATATTTTCCAGTGTTCCTTTTCTTATCACATGACCGAAGAACTTTGTGGGGGAAAACAAGAATAGACCCACTGCCTTCCCAGCAAGCATGTCCTAGGAGTCTTCTAACTAGGGACTTCCTTAGAAGTCGTGCATCTGCTCAAGTGGCAAGGAAACAACCAACTACACAGAAATAAGCCAGTAAATCGCATGTACACACAAAACTCAGGCTCTGGCACAAAGCCAAAGTCCAAATGGACGAACAACCAGGACTTTCCATGGAGCTTACAGCCAGTGAACGAAGAAGAAGAAGAAGTTATTCTGGCAGTCCAAGGTATTCACAACATTCTTCTCGAGAAACATATCTCATTTGTCTCCAAACTCTTCTTAATGTTGTTGTTGTATACAGCCAACACCAATTGATCTTGCACTGCGGTATAGATTTCTTTCTGTAATTGTTATAATTGTTCCTGTACCTGGACTGTAGTAGACACTGGTTATCACAACTCTCCATACTTCTGTGTTATGTGATATTATAATTCCCCATGTGATTTCCGGGGCTCCATTGAGAAGAAGACATGAATAGACCCACTGCCTCCCCAACAAACAAGTTGTAGAAGTTGACTAATTAGAGGCTTCGTTTGAAGTCGGAGTGCATCTGCCTGAGAGGCAAGGAACCAAGAGTCTGCACACAGATAAGCCATATCTGTGAAATGGATGTGCATGCAGCACTCAGGTTCTGGAACAAGACTAAAGTCCAGAATTAGATAAACAACCAGAACTTTCTGTCATAGTTTACAGCTGGTGAAGGCGAAGAAAAATAAATTCTAATGAAGTTAAGTGTTGCTAATGTTTTTACTTGTCTGACAGCCATTTAAACTTTCACACTCACATTTTTTGCCTTCTGACCTAATATTTTCCTAAATAATACTAATTTATTTAATTCAGCTTGTCTGTTAATATGCTTCGTAAATTTATTTGATATTTTCTTTATGTTTTTTCCTAGTTGTGTGCACAGCGTGTCAACATTCTTCTCCATAATGAAATCTTCATTGCCTCCGGTTGCTTGATAATTTTCTTCATTATTTTAATTATTTAATGTTCAACATTCACATCCATACAACCCCAGTCAGGGTTCTGAGGCCCCAGTTTGGGGGAAGACCAATGTACCCACTGCCCTCCTAGCAAGCATGTCATAAAAGGCAACTAATTAGGAGTCAGCTGAAATAGAATGTTAGGCTGAAAGGTGCAGATATCGCAACCTAGCTGTAAAGACCAAACTATATGCTAACTATCCTTCTACCTTGTTTAAATCTAAAATAAATTATTTTCATGAGTATATTTCATGTTTGAAAATACAATGTTTCTGTTTTCCAGTACTATGGCAACAAGACGGTGATGACGCTAGCCATTCCTGCAGTGGTCAGATTCCTCAACTGTGACAACAGGGAGCTCGTCCGGAGTGTGGCCAGTTACCTGTCCTTGGCTGCCATCGACAACTCCAGCTTACTGGCTCAGCACATGCCTCTTGTCCTGTCCAGTGTACTGAAAGGTTGTCTAAATATTTGTTCTCTGTGATTGCATTAGTTGTTGCTGTAGTGTAAAGACATGCCTGTCTTCTGTCTAGTACACTGAGAGGTTGTCTAAATGTTTGTTCTCCATGATTGCATTAGTTGTTACTGTAGTGTAAAGACATGCCTCTCTTCTGTCTAGTGTTCTGAAAGGTTTTCTAAATGTTTGTTCTCTGTGATTGCATTAGTTGTTGCTGTAGTGTTAGAGTTCGCACAATCATCTGCTGATTAATTGGTCCTGTTTGTATCTTTAATTACCTCTGGGCACTGGGTTGCAGACAGTTGACTGTTGTCTATGCCCTTGGGATGAAACATGACTGTCTGAGGCTAACGCCAGCAGTTCCACATATACTACCCTTAATCATGGCCTGGTTACATCCTAATTTGTGTCTTTGCAGGTGTGAAGTTTCAGTTTTAGCCTTGCACACCTCACTGGTTTCTGAACAAGGAGAAGGGAAGGAGAGCTTTGTAGATATAATCATGTGGAGATGGTGTGTGGGCAATCATTGTCAAGTGTAGAACCATCATCAAGTCTTTTGCTCCCTCACTGAAGTGATCATGCTTTTCTGCATCTTGCCCTCTTCAACAGCATGTACCAGTTTGTGTGTTGACACCTTTCACACTATGACAAAACTGTCAGAAGGCTGTTTTACAAGAGTGGTTTACCAAGACTTCAACTTGTTTTAGCAAGTGCTGACTGCAATAGTCTTTGTATAAAAAGACTAACTTTGCAATGCAGCAACGGTTACAGGTGACCTAATAACTGTCGGTGCCCTAATATAACTTTGTTACACAGTTAAACTGGGTTTCCAGGATTTGTACTTGTTTGATTCTCATCCCTGAGCTGTTAATCCTCAAGAAAGCCTCCCTGGAAGGGAAAATTAGAGGGGAACCCCCCCCCCCCCCACCCCCCCAAAAAAAACCCAGGACAGCAGGTGGGAGAGGTCATTCATGGTGTTCCTCACACACTAGTGCCATATGAGAATTGTTTGAACTATGTTATAGGTGTAATTTCAACAGCCGACTAACTCAGCTCCTCTTAGTGACCACTAGTAGCCTTGTCTGTGGCCACTTTTGCAGTTTAATCAAAGGCTATCCGTGTTTTTTGTTTGTTACCACTCATCCATGGCCTGGTGGACACACCTACTGGCAGACAAGACTCCTCTACCTGAGTGTAACTTGTGAGCAAATATAAGCACTTATTTTCAAAGATAACTTTTGATTAAGAGTTAATAATCAAATCCCTGTGTCCCCATCGTAAATTTGAACAAAGAAGTCACAAACATTAGATTGCAAACTTTATTGCCTGACATTATTCACTGTATTATCAGGTGTTTATTACAATAACAATTGATTAAATAAATCAGATAAATGAATCCAATTGCCTAGCATATTTCACTGTATCTGGTAAAACAGGCAGTTACGTTTGAGAGTGATTGATTTTTGTATTTCAGTTGTAAATAATTGATTTATTTGTTTCATTTTATTGAATTGTTACTTTTTTTTAAATTATCTGATGAGATGCAGCAAAATTTGCCGGGCAGTAAATTGTGCAATCTGTATACTTTTTGTTGAAGTTAGTAATCATTTCTGTTGTTAAGTAGACCAAAAATAAACATTTTCTTCCTCAGGTAACTATTTGCTCGGCCAGGTGTTGCCCCAGATTTATGAAGAGAACCCGCAGCCTGTGCTAGAACATGTCGACAAGCTAGCCAAGTTACTGGGCAAGTGTGACCCCACAGAGAAAGTCTGTTTTTTGCAGACGTTTCACAAAGTGGCCAGGACTCATCCTCAGGTGGGCCTTGCATGCCAATACATTATGGATTTACCATTTCCTCTTTGTTTTATTCAGTCATTAGTGTGTAATTCTTTCATTATTTTCTCATGGTTTTATTAATTTGTCACTTCAGAACCGGTGCTACAGAGCCTGTGCACTGCGCTGAGCTTCTTCGGACTCAGACTTGCGACGGAGCACTTATGGGTTACTACCTGTGTGCCATGATGTTGATCCGTTGTTGTTCAAACTTCTAGGTCTTCTCTTTCTTTCTCTTGGTCAGAACTGCCAATTACTGTATTTATTTACCACTTTTGCTGTGTAGGTGGGGGGGGGGGGGTCTTTGAACCTGAGGATCTGGGGCCGCATTGCTAGTGCTGTGGCCATGGACTGCAGGCTAGGATTGGCCAAGGTTATTTAAGAAAAAAGTCGGCTTCGCCAGGACCTGAAACCACAACCTTCAGATCCACAGGTGAGCGTCTACGTTCACTGTGTTATCACTGGATAATTCATTCACCATGTCATCGCTGGATTATTCATTCACCATGTCATCACTGGATTATTCATTCACCATGTCATCACTGGATTATTCATTCACAAATGCATCATTGCTTGTCTCATGCATTATTACACCATTCCTGGATCATTACACCACAAATCATTTACCATTTCACATGTGCATCATACATTCACAGTTTCACCTTTGATTCACCTTTGATTCACCTTTGATTCACCTTGTCACCATGCATCACACATAGTGTTCTTTACCTCACAGCTATTGGAGAATCACGTTGGCCAGCTGTGCACCCACTTGTCCTCATCTCTTCACTCTCCTATGGTTCTGATGATCCTGGCCGACATGACCACATCTCGTCCGGCCGCGCTCGTCGATCATCTCCCTGCTGTCCAGGCAGTGGTGGATTCCCAGCCCATGCTGATGTACCAGGTCGCACAGATCACTGGCGCAGTGGGTACAGTCAGTCAGGTCAGTACAGCAATCATCATCTGTGTTCAGTTAACTTGTACTAAGAACCGACATCATAACACTCAGAATGTTCCCATAAGCCCACTGTTCCCATCTTCAGCAGTCACAGAAGAGTTCTAATGCCATCGTTGCCATTAACGTTTGATTATATGCCCATCTTGTCATTGCTCTGAGTGTAGAATGTAACCCACATCCCCTAGTCATTCCCTGCTGAACCGTTCTCTCCACACCATAGTGATCTCTTTATGGTTCTGAATGTTCATTGGCTCCCAGAGGGTCTTGACCACATCTAGCTTAGTACGAATAAGCTCACCACCCAGTGGTCCAGCATCAGCCAGTCTGTCTGCCAGTTCCTTTCCCTACACAGCAGCCTTCCCTGCTTGTTTGTTATTCGTCCAAGAATCACATCTGTCTGACTGACTGACTGATTCTCTACCCCACCAGGACATCACACAAGCGATAAACACCCGATGACACAATGTGCCACCATGTGGGCGAGGATCACCGTGGAGAGGTCCCAGAAACCGCGTTCAGCCCCTAGGTCATATTTATGGCCAGGCTATATTGCGGCCCCTGGCAAGAGCCAGAGTAGGGCTTCAAATAACGAAAAATTCCATCCTAAAAAGGACGGAAAGTATCTGTCTGTCAAATTTGGTGGTTATATCTGTAAACACTTTTTGTTACTTCATCTGATTTTTTTCCTTCAAATTAGTTCATTCATTATCCTGTTGTGCCATTATTGGTCACATAGGGCTTGTAGTCGATTCCTCCATTCTCTTCTATGCTGTACAGTGAGATCAATATCAGGATGGAATCCAGTCCAGCAGCTTTGGCCTCTCTTATCAGCATTCACTTTAGGGTTTCTTTGACTGTCGTCACCTTTTTAATCAATGTTTTCCCCTTTTTAGTGCCTGTTTTGTGGTTCAGTGCTCATTTCTTCTCAGGATGTGTCCTGTCTAGTGCCTCCTTCTCTGTCTTTTAACTGTAGATACTAGTGGTTGCCCAAACATTTCTCTTATTTCTTCACCCCTTTTGAATTCGTCTTCTTCTTCTTCTTCTTCTTCTTCTTCTTCTTCTTCTTCTTCTTCTTCTTCTTCTTTTTCTTCTTCTTTTTCTTTTTCTTCTATCTAATTATAAAATGGTCATGCAATATGTATTGATTACATTTAGGATGGCATATAGTCACTAGTAAACATAAACTGAAAAAGTCTGTGGTTAAATGAGTAGGGACTCTTTGTAGTTTTCAGATCAAATGTGAGATGATTCCATAATTAAACTTGTCTTAAATAAATCAATTCTAGATTTAGGCAAACATATAAACTTGGTCGATGTTTCTAGGATTGAACTGATCCTACCAGAAAATGTAATTTAAAAAAATTTTGTGACAGGATTTTATAAAGGAATTTGGCCTTGGTAAAAAATTAAACGTTTACTCCATAGCAGAAGCCGTAAATGTTCTTATAAGAGATTGTTTTCAACGTAATTTCTATCAGAGACTAGGCGTAAGGCCCAATTTTGTATGGAATACAATCATATGACAATAGAATTAGAGAAATAATCAGAAATTGTGGAACAATTGTCAATATGCGTTTGGATGTAGACTGCGTAAAACATTTTACTTGTATGTTCATCCAGAAATTGTTCAGTAGAGCCAAGCTAATAAACTTTTTGCGCTATTTTTTTTTTTCTGATATAAAGAAGAAAAGGAGGAGGAGGAACGAAGAAGAAGAAAAAGAAGAAGAAGAAGAAGAAGAAGAAGAAGAAATATAATAATAATAATAATAATAATAATAATAATAATAAGAAGAAGAAGAAGAAGAAGAAGAAGAAGAAGAAGAAGAAAAAAGGAAGAGGAAGAAGAGGAGGAAGAAGAAGAAGAAGAAGAAGAAGAAGAAGAAAAAGAAGAAGAAGAAGAAGAAGAAGAAGAAGAAGAAAAAGGGAAAGAAGAAGAAGAAAAAGGAAAGAAGAAGAAGAAAAGGGAAAGAAGAAGAAGAAAAGGGAAAGAAGAAGAAGAAAAGGGAAAGAAGAAGAAGAATTCGTCCTATTTTATGTTCATCATTTGCAGGCATTTTGTTTTTGAAACATTTAACATTTTTTTGTTCAGGCTGTTAAAAGCAGCTGATGCCTTGCCAATGTCTGTCATTATTTCTTTCTTTGTATTTCTTCACTAACAAAATTACACCAGCCTTCCCTGCTTGTTTGTTATTCGTCCAAGAATCACATCTGTCTGACTGACTGACTGATTCTCTACCCCACCAGGACATCACACAAGCGATAAACACCCGATGACACAATGTGCCACCATGTGGGCGAGGATCACCGTGGAGAGGTCCCAGAAACCGCGTTCAGCCCCTAGGTCATATTTATGGCCAGGCTATATTGCGGCCCCTGGCAAGAGCCAGAGTAGGGCTTCAAATAACGAAAAATTCCATCCTAAAAAGGACGGAAAGTATCTGTCTGTCAAATTTGGTGGTTATATCTGTAAACACTTTTTGTTACTTCATCTGATTTTTTTCCTTCAAATTAGTTCATTCATTATCCTGTTGTGCCATTATTGGTCACATAGGGCTTGTAGTCGATTCCTCCATTCTCTTCTATGCTGTACAGTGAGATCAATATCAGGATGGAATCCAGTCCAGCAGCTTTGGCCTCTCTTATCAGCATTCACTTTAGGGTTTCTTTGACTGTCGTCACCTTTTTAATCCATGTTTTCCCCTTTTTAGTGCCTGTTTTGTGGTTCAGTGCTCATTTCTTCTCAGGATGTGTCCTGTCTAGTGCCTCCTTCTCTGTCTTTTAACTGTAGATACTAGTGGTTGCCCAAACATTTCTCTTATTTCTTCACCCCTTTTGAATTCGTCCTATTTTATGTTCATCATTTGCAGGCATTTTGTTTTTGAAACATTTAACATTTTTTTGTTCAGGCTGTTAAAAGCAGCTAATGCCTTGCCAATGTCTGTCATTATTTCTTTCTTTGTATTTCTTCACTAACAAAATTACTACCTAAATAAGTGAATTGTTCTGTTACATCAATTCCTTTTGTCTCTTGTGTTGCATCAAGTGTTACAAATTTATTTTATTGCGTGTTTGTTAATCGTCCAGGAATCACATCTGTCTATTAAAGCTGATGGTTAAATCTGAAAACAGTTTCTCTTACTTCATGTGATTTTGTTTTTAATTGCTCGTTTGTTAATCATCCAGGAACCACCTCATCTTTCTGTTAAAATTGGTGGTTCACTTTAGAACACATGAATTGAATGAGGACAGACTTGAAGTATGTCTGTCCCTAGCCTGTGGTTGTCCCCCCTTGACTTGCGTATAACACATTTTGTGTTTCTCTTCCCTGTTTGTTTTCAATAGCCTGAATTTGACTATACTGAAGTCACTGGCTACATGATGACCAGCCAGTATATTGCTGCCAGGGGCTTCCCCGTGTGAGTTCCTGGGCCTCATCTTGGGGGAACAAGAATACCACCCATTGCCCCCCTCTAACGAGCATATCGTAAACGTCAAATATTTAAGGGGTATTTCCTCCTAAGTCAGTGCATCTGTTTGAGAGGCAAGGAACCAACAGTCTGCATACAGATAAGCCAGATCTGTAAATGGATGAGTATGCAAAACTCAATTTTGGAACAAGACTAAAGTCTAGGAGTGGACAAACAACCAGAATTTAGAGCCAGTGAATGCCAAGAAGAAGAATAAAAAGAATTGCCAGTGCTACATGTCATCATATCCTTCCTTATTACATTATAGTTTACATTGTAGGTTCACAGATGTTCCTCTGTTACCACAAGATAAACGCCAAACAGATTCTGAAATGTTTTTCTCTGACATTGGGTTCCCAGGAACAGGCTCAGAAATCTGTGAGGTACCTAGTGTCAAAGTTAACAGGGATGGATCAGTCAGTCCTGCCTGCTGTACTGCAAGAGATCCGAGGGCTGGGACTACGACATCATAGCCTCATAGAAGAACATCTGGACAAGATATGTAAACTCTCCACATCTGGATCGAGTGCAGTGAGACTTCTGGTGCAGCAGATCCAAGAGGATGTCAGGAAACAGTAAGTATATCAGACCACTGGTTGTTGCACTGCCCCAGTTGTTGCACTACCCCAGTTGTTGCACTACCCCAGTTGTTTGCACTACCCCAGTTGTTGCACTACCCCAGTTGTTGCACTACCCCAGTTGTTGCACTACCCCAGTTGTTTGCACTACCCCAGCTGTTGCACTACCCCAGTTGTTGCACTACCCCAGCTGTTGCACTACCCCAGTTGTTGCACTACCCCAGTTGTTGCACTACCCCAGTTGTTGCACTACCCCAGTTGTTGCACTACCCCAGTTGTTGCACTACCCCAGTTGTTGCACTACCCCAGTTGTTTGCACTACCCCAGTTGTTTGCACTACCCCATTTGTTTGCACTACCCCAGTTGTTTGCACTATCCCAGTTGTTTGCACTACCCCAGTTGTTTGCACTACCCCAGTTGTTTGCACTACCCCACTTGCTACACTACCACCAGTTATTTATCACTTGTTGCTACACTACCACCAGTTACTTATCACTCGTTGCTACACTACCACCAGTTACTTATTACTCGTTGCTACACTACCACCAGTAACTTATCACTCGTTGCTACACTACCAGTTGGTACATTGCTACTAATACTAGTTGCTACATTACCACCAGTTGTTACAGTTTCATCAGTTGCTATGTTATCACCTGTTGCTACGTTACCAGCATTTGCTACTAATACTAGTTGCTACATTAATACTAGTTATCACAGTTCTAATTGCTACACTGTCACATTGCTGTACTGCAACCAGCTGCTACTCAGTCAACATATGCTACATTACTGCAAATGGCTACATCACTACACTACTTTCATTTACTGTACCATGATCATTTGCAAAATCCAACCAATCATAGATTTCATTAGAAAATCTAACCAGTCCTAGATTTCATTACAGAATCCATCCAACCAATCATAGATTTCATTAGAAAATCTAACCAGTCCTAGATTTCATTACAGAATCCATCCAACCAATTATAGACTTCTTTGGAAAATCCAACCAATCATAGATTTCATTAGAAAATCTAACCAGTCCTAGATTTCATTACAGAATCCATCCAACCAATCATAGACTTCTTTGGAAAATCCAACCAATCATATGCTTCATTTGAAGTGTGAAAGGCAGAAGAAGGGAATGACTGTTTCTCCAAAACCAAATGAGATCGAGACCAGAACCGTCACCACAAATATAGCTGACAGGAAAGTGAGCAGAAATGTGAGCTGACCTAGCTGAAAGTGGTCAACGAAAGAGAATTAGAAATAAATGACTGTTTCAGGAGTTTGAATCTGTTTTAAATTTTATTCAGTACTGAAATTATTTATTTTTTGGATGAAACTGAAATATCACCACTAGCATTTGTTGTCTGTTGGGCAGCTTGGTGACATCCAGTAAAAGACAGTCTACAGCAAGAGAGGCTGCAGCGCCTTCAACCAACAGGATATCTTTGGTGAACGGTGAAGCCAAGGAGAAACCCAAGGAACTGAGGTCGGTCTCCAGCCAGACTGAGGGAACGGTCACCGTGATCACCGTGGGTAATCCACCAAATACAGCACAGCCGAGCGGAACCGTGTCTGCCAAACATACAACCCTGCCCCTGACTGTGTCGGCCGGACATTCTGGTCTGCCTCCTGGCAGTGTGTCAAGTCAGCAGAGTTTAGCAAAGCTACACAGGTGGGTCTTTATGAGAAAGTTTCTAGCTTACACAGCTCCTTCCTCTGGTCTTTTCAGTCTCTACAAACTGAGTTATGTTGCAGTTTGCTTAGACCTAGCGCTGAGTGCCTCCGATTGTGACAGACATGATTTGGGTTTGTTATTCCTGTGATTCAGCATCATCATTGTCCTGATGTATGATTATATGTCACATAGGGCTCGCAGTCTGTTCTTCCATTGCATTCTGTCCTATACAGTCACTTCAGTATCACCGATGGAATCCAGTCTAGCAGCCTTAACCTCTCTCATCAATGTTCATCTTGTGGGCGTCCCTGCCTCCTTAATCCTTTACTTTCGATTTGTGAGAGAGGAATCATGCTGCATGGGTAACTCATGCTCTCTGTAATACTTCCCAGACTTTGTGCTTCAATACATGCTGAGCAACACTGATCCCAGAATCCCTGCTCTAATTATGAAAGATTTTCTTTACATAAGAGGGTCTTGCTAGTCACACACGCTGTGTCACCATGGATTGTGAGTCCTGTGTCTCCCCATAGCACAGTATAACATTATCTTCTGGAAAAAACAAACAGAAAATCTGCACACAAAAAACAGAACGAAACAAAACTCAACCTTTTTTCACCTTCTGACAGACGAGCCTCACTGGGAGACTACAGCTACAGCTCTGCCCGCACACAGAGCCCTGAATCCATGTCTGACACCAGCGTTGGAAAGTCTTACACCAGTGTTGGAATGTCTGCTGATCGGGTCAGCTGGGTGAGTTCAGTGTGTGACTGTTTCACTTCTGAAGACATAAATGCCTAATATTTTATTAGAAACTATGATCATCTCCAGGAACATAACCACACTTTAATATCCAAGTATATGGCAACATTTGAAAACATTTAAGTATTTTAGGTAGCCAATCCACCCAGTGTGTGTGTTTATCTGTATGTGGGTGGAAGGGTGTAGAGGGAAAAGAGATAGACCCCCGCCACTCTAACAAATATATCATCAAATGTTAACTAGGGGTGGTTCCCTTTAAGTCGGCATGTTATATGCCTTTGAGGCTAGGAGCCAACACTCCACATACAAATAAGCCAAATCGGATGTTCACAAAAAATTCAAGGAAAATCTCTCGTTTTCGGGCCCACAAAGAGAGTGACTTCCCTTCCCATTCATAAATTGCCGAGGTCTTTCTGTATGAGGTTTACTGGCACAGGAGCAGAGAATTCATGGGGTGACCAATTTGCTGTGAAGTTGGAACCTGAACTACTAATATTACAACTCCTGGGTCAGGACACATTGCACACCATCGTCTCACACACTCTCTGTCCTTCGAGGTCTAGCTTCTTCATTTCTGTTTATTCTTAGACTGAGTAAATACCTTACAATTCTATTAGGAGTCATCTATAACACTCGCTGTCGTTTTCTCACTATCACTGTCTGTCTATTCCCCCCTCCCCTTTTTCCCCTAACATTAACATTCCACGTCCCTCTCCTCCACTTCTGTCTGGGTTGATGCAGTGTATCCTTGTATTGCAGCATGAGTCCATTCGAGACGGTGTGCAGCTGTTTTGTGAGAAACACTTTGCAAAGATCAAAAGCTTCATCCTCAAGCTGAACGCCACCATCCCTCTGCCGGTCAAGTGTAGCGTTGTCAGTGAGTGTGTCCTTCCATTCACTTCAAAGTTTGCTCATCATTTTCAACATCTTGTTCTTCATTGTTGTCATGTCATATTGTCACTTTCCTTTAGAAGGCACAGATAGAAGATTAGGTTCTGTACAGACTGTGGATACATTTGTTGATTCATTGTTGATTCATTAACCGTCAGTTCAAGAACACACAACAGTCACCAGTCAAACTGTACAGAATGTGGCTACATTTGTTGATTTATTGTAACCGTCAGTTCAAGAACACACAACAGTCACCACTCAGACTGTACTAGCATGTAAGTCATGAGGAAATAGATGTTGCTTATTGATGAGTCATTCAAACAGGTACAGTCGTGGTACAGTCTAGGCTTCCTTGCTAACAGGAAATGGTCTCGAATCATGTTATCACTGCTATTAGACTACCTACAAAATCGTGGTTGACATTCACGCCTATTTACTTGAGTACGCCCCATAATAATTCCTCAGCATTCTGCCCACATGTTTGCAGACCTTAATTTTTGATGTGTTCCACTGTCCTGGTATTGACTAACACAACAGTTCTTTCGCTGTGACTCTTCAGTCATGCAGACAGGCTTCTCCCATGCTCATCTTACACTGAATAATCATTTATCCTTTCTCACGTCCAATTATCCACGTCCTCTCACGAGATTTCTCACAATCAGTCACTAATTCATGTTGACTCCCAATCCTCCTTGAGGCACACTTTCTAACTGATTCTTTCTTAACTGGCCTTCAAACTCTTGACCCTGTCCCTTTGAGGAACCCCTTGTGACATCATAGGATTTCCCACTCATTACAATAATAGACTGTGATGGTTGTGACATATAGAGAGATGAGGCATAGAGAGAGATGAGGCATATAGAGAGAGATGAGGCATATAGATAGAGATGAGGCATATAGAGAGAGATGAGGCACATAGAGAGATGAGGCATATAGAGAGATGAGGCATATAGAGAGATGATGCATATAGAGAGATAAGACATATAGAGAGATGATGCATATAGAGAGATGAGGCATATAGAGAGATGAGACATATAGAGAGATGATGCATATAGAGAGATGAGGCATATAGAGAGATGATGCGTATAGAGAGATGATGCGTATAGAGAGATGATGCGTATAGAGAGATGAGACATGTAGAGAGATGAGACATATAGAGAGATGATGCGTATAGAGAGATGAGGCATGTAGAGATATGAGACATATAGAGAGATGAGACATATAGAGAGATGAGGCATATAGAGAGATGAGGCATTTAGAGAGATGAGACATATATAGAGATGAGACATATATAGAGATGAGACATATATAGAGATGAGACATATAGAGAGATGAGGCATATAGAGAGATGAGGCATATAGAGAGATGAGGCATATAGAGAGATGAGGCATATAGAGAGATGAGGCATATAGAGAGATGAGGCATATAGAGAGATGAGGCATATAGAGAGATGAGGCATATAGAGAGATGAGGCATATAGAGAGACAGCGGTAAAATAGAGAGGATAAAAACTGTACACAAAAAGAGTTGAATGTGAGTAGACCATGGCAGAGCAAGAAAACAGTAAAGAGAGAATACACCAGCAGAACTACAAATACTTAGGGTCACCAGCTGGAAAGAGAAGGCCAATCAGAATAAGAAAAAAGAGAAGGCCAATGAGAGAGATAAAGGAGGCAAGATAAAACTGTAGCCATGAGCCTAAAACAGCTTGGAAAGCTGATAAAGTAAAAACAAAATCATAAATAGTAAATAATATTTTGTTGCTTTGTTTCAGATGGAAAACATAAGAGGTATTTGAAGCTCCATTTTGAATGTGCCAACCAGTCAGAGCGGTGTCTATACAGTGGGTCTCATTTCACCTTGAACACCCGATTCCCAAAGTTTTGGGTACATCTCATGTTTCTCTCTGTGCAGGTGAGGTGTACAAATCAATGCAAGGTGCCAGGCAATTATCTTGTCTTGTTTGTGAAGTAAATATTAATTAGCAACATTCAGGTCAGAGAAATCAGAGATTATGGCATCCATCTATGACTTGAGCGGATATGGTTTGTCTCATTTGTTGAGTGTTTGAGTTTTGACAATTTATGATTAATAAATAGAATATTCTTTTAGATCCTTGTATAGTAAATTGGACATCTAGTTGTTTCAGTACTGACATCTTGAAAGATCTGAACATCAAGGAAGATTGACTAATAAACAGCATCTTGTCTCGGAAGCTGAAATATTTTGGTCATATTAAGCGCCACGACGGATTGGAAAAAATTATAGCAGAAGGCATGGTACCAGAAAGGAGGGGCAGGGGTTGACCAACACGAAGATGAGCACAGGATATAAGTGACTCCTTGAGTATGAAAGTACACGAGGCGGGACAGCTGGCGAGAGACCAAGTTTCTTTCAGCCAGACTGTGATGAGAGTGACTTCTGCAAAGGACCTGCTACATGATGATGATGAGTCTTCTCAGACAGAAGCAAAATAAATCAAAGGAATTTGTATCCACATGAATGATTTCGTGTCACTATTTTCCTGTTTCTGCTGCTGCTTCTTCTCATCCTTCTTCCTTTTCTTCTTCACTTCTTTCTACTTCTCTTTTCCTGTTTCTGCTTCTTCTCATCCTTCTTCCTTTTCTTCTTCACTTCTTTCTACTTCTCTTTTCCTGTTTCTGCTTCTTCTCATCCTTCTTCCTTTTCTTCTTCACTTCTTTCTACTTCTCTTTTCCTGTTTCTGCTTCGTCTCATCCTTCTTCCTTTTCTTCTTCACTTCTTTCTACTTCTCTTTTTCCTGTTTCTGCTTCTTCTCATCCTTCTTTCCTTTTCTTCTTCACTTCTTTCTACTTCTCTTTTCCTGTTTCTGCTTCTTCTCATCCTTTTTCCTTTTCTTCTTCACTTCTTTCTACTTCTCTTGTCCTGTTTCTGCTGCTGCTTCTTCTCATCCTTCTTCCTTTTCTTCTTCACTTCTTTCTACTTCTCTTTTCCTATTTCTGCTGCTGCTTCTTCTCATCCTTCTTCCTTTTCTTCTTCACTTCTTTCTACTTCTCTTTTCCTATTTTTGCTGCTGCTTCTTCTCATCCTTCTTCCTTTTCTTCTTCACTTCTTTCTACTTCTCTTTTCCTATTTCTGCTGCTGCTGCTTCTCATCCTTCTTCCTTTTCTTCTTCACTTCTTTCTACTTCTCTTTTCCTGTTTCTGCTGCTGCTTCTTCTCATCCTTCTTCCTTTTCTTCTTCACTTCTTTCTATTTCTCTTTTCCTATATCTGCTGCTGCTTCTTCTCATCCTTCTTCCTTTTCTTCTTCACTTCTTTCTACTTTTCTTTTCCTATTTCTGCTGCTGCTTCTTCTCATCCTTCTTCCTTTTCTTCTTCACTTCTTTCTACTTCTCTTTTCCTATTTCTGCTGCTGCTTCTTCTCATCCTTCTTCCTTTTCTTCTTCACTTCTTTCTACTTCTCTTTTCCTATTTCTGCTGCTGCTTCTTCTCATCCTTCTTTCTTTTCTTCTTCACTTCTTTCTACTTCTCTTGTCCTGTTTCTCCTGCAACACCAGGATGTTTTGAGAGTTCAAACACTTTTGTGTTTGTTACCTCATGGTGGCACAACCAGCAGATGAATACAACATAAATGTACAGATAAGATGTGTTTTTTTTAAATCCGGAAATATATTCTTTATTTCTGAAAGAGTTTTGAATGCCACACATTGAGCAGTTTGTACCCCAGCAGCCGTATCTGCTAATTGATTACTCTTACATGTTCTGTTCTCTGATTCAGGCACGATCAAGACATGCCCTGAGCCAGCGAGATCCAAATGTCACCTGTCTCAAAGCATGCTGGGATGCTCTGAAAGGGGACACTACTAACAGTTTTTTAACTTTGGTGACCTCAAGCTTTCCATCTCAGAAGGTCAGTTATCTGCCTTGTTTTGTTGCAGTGAAATATTTGGTAGCATTAATTTTTTCATCATAATTTAACTATTTTTTTTTTAGTATCAGCTCTTTGGCTGCCAGCCTATTGTTACTTGAACTTTTTCTATTCTGAGTTCTGTTTTAAAGTATATAGTGTTTGAGTCTAAAGATAATAAACTAACACTGTTGAGCAGACGGGAAAAAAACTAATAATTGCAATATAATGAGATTGTGTAGTGAATATGTACTTTTGTTAGACTATCTGATAAATATATGACGAGTTGCTTTCTGCCAAAAGAATATGTATTTTTGAAGAATAGAAGGGAAGATAATTCAATGTACAGAAAAGGTAACTCCTGCCTGCTTGTGGTCCATTGTTGCAGATCTTTTTACAGTAGCAAAAATATGTATTTCTAGGTCTTGTTTGTTTTCTAGAACTGTGTTTCTCAAATTTGTTTACACCTGCGGTCCAGCATAATGGAGAACATTGTTTCATGGCCCATCTGTCAACTAACCACAGAAACATATATAGCTGGCCATTTGTTTGTTACCTGATGTGACATCCGTTGCTGGAATTTGTAGCTGTTTGATCCTCAGCTTTGAGACAGGAATCCTCAGCTTTGAGACAGGAATCCTCAGCTTTGAGACAGGAATCCTCAGCTTTGAGGCATGAATCCTCGGCTTTGAGACAGGAATCCTCAGCTTTGAGACATGAATCCTCAGCTTTGAGACATGAATCCTCAGCTTTGAGACATAAATCCTCAGCTATGAGACATGAATCCTCAGCTTTGAGACATGAATCCTCAGCTTTGAGACATGAATCCTCAGCTTTGAGACATGAATCCTCAGCTATGGGACATCTGTACCTGTGTAGTTACTGTTGCTTGTTGTTCTTTAGGACCAGCTGACTCTGTTGCATGAGCTGCATCAGATGCGTTACTTTGATGTGTTTGAGCTGAACGCAGCCAAGGAACACTGGGCCTGTTTCATGTGTAACCACCCTGAAAGGTTGTCGGAATTGTTGAATGATGGTTGCCCGGAGATTGCAGTAAGTTGGCAATGTTGTATTGAATAATAATCCTAAATCCACTGAAATATAATGTTACCATATAATTGTTAATCTGCAAAGACTAATATATTAATCCATTGAGGCTTTTATATGTGATATATGTAAATTCATTGAGGCTTTTATGTGTGATATATGTTAATCCATTGAGGATTTTATATGTGATATATGTTAATCCATTGAGGCTTTTATATGTGATATATGTTAATCCATTGAGGCTTTTGTATGTGATATATGTTAATCCATTGAGGCTTTTATATGTGATATATATTAATCCATTGAGGATTTTATATGTGATATATGTTAATGCATTGAGGCTTTTATATGTGATATGTGTTAATCCATTGAGGCTTTTATATGTGATATCATTTTGCCCCAAGAAGCTGTGAATCTGGCACACCCAGGCATTTCTAAAGTTGCGTGTTTCTGAGATGCCTGTTTAACAACGTTGGTTGTGTTTGCACCTGTGCAGTGTTTAAGAGTTAAGGATATGAATATATTTCCTAAAAGTAGAATGTAAGGGAGTTTTCTTATAAACAGAATGGCTGTTTTAAAGCAGTTTTGACATCAGAATTTTCCTGGAGCCTTGATGTTAGAATTATGACGAGGTCACAGTGTAAATTACCTGATACATCTTGTTAAGCCCAGGGGAATGAAGTCTAGTTAATTCTTCACTTCTGTGATGTTAATTGATTGCTCTCCATATTTTTGCAAGTTTAAATTCGAGGATATGCTGGAACTGTTGAGATGTTCTGGAGCATACATTACGTAATTCTTTCTGGAATGTTCTTTGAAAAACGTCCTGGGGGGTTTGTAAATTGTCCTGGGTGATTTGAAAAATATTTCATAGTTGATTTGAAAATCGTTCAGTTTAATTTGAAAAATGTCCTATGCAGGCCCCAGCAGCATTGTGTGTGTGTGCGTGTGTGCATGCGTGTGTGTGTGTGTGTGGTTGGGGAGGGGGGTGGGGGAGAAGAGAGAGAGAGAGAGAGTGATCTGTCAAAAATTGTCATTTATTAAAAGATATTTTCACTGGAAATTTCCAGGAACCGAACTATTGTTCTAAAGGTTTCTGGGATAAAAGGGTTAGTCCACTGAGGCTGTTTTATGATAAGGTGTAATTCTTGATCGCCTGAGGTGTTTGACTTTGTTGTTTATGTATTCTTGTTACATAGTTGAGCAACACTACATGGAGGTGATAATTAGTGTCAGAGTTTGATCAGATTGGAAGGACGTTGAGTGAGCTGTCTGCTGTCACAAAGCACAGGTTGACTTGTGTGGTTATGGGTCTCTGCTGCATCAGGCAATAGAGGGCTGAAGAAGAGATGAATATAATAATGAAATACCAAGTAACAATAAAAAGAGATGAATGCAAAAATGAAATACCAAGTAACAATAAGAAGAGATGAATATAATAATGAAATACCAAGTAACAATAAGAAGAGATGAATATAATAATGAAATACCAAGTAACAATAAGAAGAGATGAATATAATAATGAAATACCAAGTAACAATAAGAAGAGATGAATATAATAATGAAATACCAAGTAACAATAAGAAGAGATGAATATAATAATGAAATACCAAGTAACAATAAGAAGAGATGAATATAATAATGAAATACCAAGTAACAATAAGAAAAGATGAATATAATAATGAAATACCAAGTAACAATAAGAACAGATGAATGTAAAAATGAAATACCAAGTAACAATAAGAAAAGATGAATATAATAATGAAATACCAAGTAACAATAAGAACAGATGAATGTAAAAATGAAATACCAAGTAACAATAAGAAAAGATGAATATAATAATGAAATACCAAGTAACAATAAGAACAGATGAATGTAAAAATGAAATACCAAGTAACACTCTCATGATTTCATTATTTTCACAGGGACAGCTCAAAGAGAAAAAGGGAAAGTGGAAATTCTTCAAAAGATGGAAAACTCGATACTTCACTTTGTCCGGGGGTTCAATTACTTACAACAAGAGCAATGCGGTAAAATTTATTATTGTACTTTTACCTAACTGCGTACATGTGGAATTTCTGTAACATTATTTTGGGATCACAAGTTTTCATGATTTCCATCTTGTGCATCAGACTGCTGCTAGTACCATTGGACCTAGAACTTTGCGATGGCTGCTGTTGATGGGGACAGAGTGCTTATGGGAATGTCGGTTCTTAACATACCATCCTTGTGACCTCACTTATTTGTCATGCTTGTACTTTTGGAGAATTCTGGCCAAAATGGCAGACAGCTGGTTGGCCGTCAGAAAAGTTATCATTTAGGCTTTGCTGATGTAAATTCCCCATTTCTGGACCAAGAGTCTGAAGGTTGCATTGCCCAGCTACTTAGTTGAGTGCTGGGTGCAACACTGAGAGCTGTGGATTACATGTGAAATGTTTTCCCTGTAACAAATTGTTGAGTGCTGGGTGCAACACTGAGAGCTGTGGATTACATGTGAAATGTTTTTCCTGTAACAAATTGTTGAGTGTACTGAAATGACAGATGGCTGATTACATTCAGAATGGCATGTAATTTTGTTGATGCAATGCTGGCTTTCCTTATTGACTGTTTATGCCAACAGTGAGCTGCAATTCTTGTGTGGGACCTTTAGTGTTGGCACAAGTGACAGCTGCCTTATACACTTAGAGCTATGTGTGTTTAAGCTTCAAGATATTGCTGGGACTGATAAGTTTTTTACTAGTTTTCAAAACGGACAGTAAATAACATGTTGTGTGATTAACACTAGCACAGGAACGGAACAGTTTGGGGTGACTTGTCTGCAGTGGTGTTAGACTAACTTACTGTTGGAGCATAGATCCTCAACCAACTCATGCTAGGACATTCTATCCTTGTGTGTTTTTAGGTGTCCCTTGATCTGTTTGGCCCAGTGGGTTTCGGTGCAAGCACATTCTAGTGATACTGTTATCAGGTTTTCCGAATGTGCCCTATTCAGTAGCAGCAGGTGGTCAAGGGCAGAAGAAGTGGAGACACCCTGGAGATCAAAGTCAGTTTTTTTCAACCCTGCCTTAATGAAGAATCGAACTGTGATAGCCACTTGGTGACCACAACTCCCTGTGGTTGTTAGGAGTCACTGTATAGGATATTACTCCACAAAGATGATCTGCCCTTGGGGATTTCATGAGTACTTCTTGTATAGACTGTTAAGAAGAAAAAAAACCACACACACATCTATCCGATGGTGCTGTCCTGTTCACACACAAATAAAATCATATGGTTATCTGATGGCATGTTTTTATTAGTTATTGGGAAAGCCTGTACACCTAAAAACTATCAGTCATCCAGTTGCAAAAGCAGTGTCAGTTGTTGGTTGAATCCTAAGGTATTCTTGTGTAATTGGAAGTTTCACTCATGAAATTACAAAGATTTTAAATGTCAGAATTATGTTCCTTTCAGTAGTCATGTATTTCTGACTTGTATTTTTTTAGTAGTAAAGTACCATTTGATAACACTGCGTTTAAAAAAAAAATTATTTTGTATTGTAACATACGGAGCAGATTTCCTGATTTGTGTCTGTCAAACTGTTTATTTTCTTGCAGACTAAGGCAACTTTACCTGTGACCCAAATCCAGAGTGTCAAGGCCGTAAGGAAAGGAATTCGGGACACCCCCAAGGCCTTTGAGATATTCACGGGAGATCAGACGTACCGGTTCAAGGCTAAAGGACATCACAATGTGGAGCAGTGGGTGCAGTGTCTGCACATAGCGGTGGCCAGGTCCCAGCTGCTAGGACCGGCGTCTGCAGGTGTACCCAGTGGACTGTCCGCCAGTAGTAGTCTCATCTCTGGAGCCACCAATGGCTCGGCTCCAGCCAGTGGCGTGGCGCTGAGGGCAGGTCGCCGCCATGTCAACAGACCTTCGACGTATGCTGGGTTCTTTGAGCCACACATGACACAAATTCAGACTGTGAACCCACCTCCTCGGCGCAGAGTTGTCATGGACACAAAGCTCTAAAGTCGATTTTTTTTAATTTCTGTAACTGTTTCTTATCAGGGTTTTTAGAAAAACATATCCTTTTTTGCTTTTATAAAATGTTGTTTACTGTGAACTTGTTTTAGTCAGCTAGACTTTCTTTTACATCACTATCATTCAGTGCCATTTGTGCAGTAAAGGCTTCCAGCTGCATCTGAGCTGTGTCTCCGTTGTGCACTCAGGTTGTAATGTCCCTGTGTAGTCTCTCTCAAGGACTCGGATCCAACAAGTGCCCGGAGCAAACAGGTCTAATGCCCATGTGTAGTCTCTCTCAAAGACTCAGATCCAACAATCGCCCTGAACTGAGAGGTCGATTGCCTGTGTGTAGTCTCTCTCAAGGACTCAGATCCAACAAGTGCCCACAACCAAGAGGTCTAATGTCCCAAATGTGACAACACAGAACTAGTTTGCAGTTGTTTCATCTCGCTCCAGTCTACCAGAAAGTTACAGGATTGACTGAATGAGTGAGTGAAAACTGGTTTACTACAGAAGACGCCTATTACATCTCCAAGCCTAAGAGTGACACATACGTGATATATACATGTGTCATAAACTGTGACGTGTAAGTCATTTTTTTCTTGCCTACAAAATCTTGCCAAAACTAGGGGTTGCCTTCTGTGGTATGTTAGGAAGATATATATCTAATTCAGAATGTTCAGCTACAAATCTTGAGGTAGACTTGGACACTAGGTCTACACGTGTGGTGCAAGTTATGGTAGTTTTTAATTTGTTTCTAATGCATGTATTGTTAATTATTATTCTTAAAAAAAAATTTCTGTTGCAGGCAGTTGCATTAACTTATGAAGTCTGAAGTGGTTATACTTGAAAATGTTTTACTGTTTGGGCCTGTAGGAGGTCAGTAAAAGTCATTAAATATTCTTTCTTCAACATCCAAGTGCATTTGCCTGTGAGACGAGGAACCAGCAGTCTGCATGCAAATGAGCCACATATGTAAAACAGACATGCACACAAACTCAAGTTCTGCCACAAGTCCCAAGTCCAGAAATGGATGAGCAACCGAAACTTTCTGCAGAAGTTTACAGCTGGTGAACATGAAGAAGTTAAATAATCCAGAGTGGGCTAATGTTGCAACTGTCTGTGATACACATAGATGGAAGCAGGGACAATGTATATGTGGTGTGACCAAGGTACATGCCGGTTGATTGTGCCCAAAGGTCCGATATTGGGCAATTAGAGAGGCATAAGTGAAGTAGTCATATATTCTTCTGCTTGAGATGATCTGTCAGCATTGTTGTTTGGGATATGAACTTCCCTGTCTTTCGTATTCACCCAGCAACTCGTTATGAGTTTGGCTTGCACTGAAGCCATATAGGAAATGATTTAGGGATAAGAAAGGCAAAATGTTTGATTGCAAAACCCTTTGAAAATAAAGTTTGTTTGTTCCTGCGTAGAAATAATAACACTCCTGCTGTGGGAGCTAGAGGAAAGAGCAGGCTGACATGAAGAGAGATTCTACTGTGAAAGGTAACACCACTCCAACAAAATCTCAGTACAGGCCAGCCTGAACTTCCGACACCTGCTGGACACAGATCTTGTAGTTGGAGGTGGATATCGCTAGCTGAACTTCTGACACAGATCTTGGAGGTGGATATCGCTAGCTGAACTTCTGACACAGATCTTGGAGGTGGATATCGCTAGCTGAACTTCCGATACCTGCTGGACACAGATCTCGGAGTTGGAGGTACATATCGCTAGCTGAACTTCCGACACCTGCTGGACACAGATCTCGGAGTTAGAGGTACATATCGCTAGCTGAACTTCTGACACCTGCTTGACACAGATCTCGGAGTTGGAGGTACATATCGCTAGCTGAACTTCCGACACCTGCTTGACACAGATCTTGGAGTTGGAGGTACATATCACTAGCTGAACTTCTGACACCTGCTGGACACAGATCTCGGAGTTGGAGGTACATATCGCTAGCTGAACTTCCGACACCTGCTGGACACAGATCTCGGAGTTGGAGGTACATATCGCTAGCTGAACTTCTGACACCTGCTGGACACAGATCTCGGAGTTGGAGGTACATATCGCTAGCTGAACTTCCGACACCTGCTGGACACAGATCTCGGAGTTGGAGGTACATATCGCTAGCTGAACTTCCGACACCTGCTGGACACAGATCTCGGAGTTAGAGGTACATATCGCTAGCTTAACTTCCGACACCTGCTGGACACAGATCTCGGAGTTGGAGGTACATATCGCTAGCTGAACTTCTGACACCTGCTGGACACAGATCTCGGAGTTGGAGGTACATATCGCTAGCTGAACTTCTGACACCTGCTGGACACAGATCTCGGAGTTGGAGGTACATATCGCTAGCTGAACTTCCGACACCTGCTGGACACAGATCTTGGAGTTGGAGGTACATATCGCTAGCTGCGGCACATTGAGAACATAAGAAAAAATTTAAAAACCTGGCAGTTTGGACTAGCTTAAGCCAGCTGATTTCAGTTGCATTTTTTTTTATTTATGTAGCGTCTGAAAATGACAGAAGACTACTAAAGATGTCACAGTATCTTCATTAGAAAAACAAAGAAGAAACTATATGGGAGACCTTGAGATAAGTGATGTTGTCTATGGCAACATTCAGTTTTTATGAAGATATCTGCTTTAGTTGATGACATGAGGGCAAGGAAATGAGAGAACCGACCTTTAATCGTGTAGCTTTTATTGAACTGGTTTTTAATATGTTTGTCATGCTGCCTTTACAATATGCTAGATCTTCTCGTGTACATACATTTATATTTATTGTTTGAGACAGAAACTTATTTATTTAACCATTTACAGCATTTTTGTTTTCTTTTTCAATGCTTTATGATTTGTTTTAACGCTAACATACTTTGTAGAAGTCATATGAGTGGGAGGTGGTCACTGAGAATGGAGATGGCTAACTGAAAGTGGAAGTTAGTCAATGAAATAGCTATCTAAAAGTGAGAGGTGATCAATGAGGTGGCTATCTGAAAGTGAGTGGTGATCAGTGAGATGGCTATCTGAAAGTGAGTGGTGATCAGTGAGATGGCTATTTGAAAGTGAGAGGTGATTAATGAGATGGATATCTGAAAGTGAGAGGTGATCAATGAGATGGCTGTCTGAAAGTGAGAGGTGATCAATGAGATGGCTGTCTGAGAGGTGATCAATGAGGTAGCTATCTAAAAGTGAGAGGTGATCAATGAGGTGGCTATCTGAAAGTGAGTGGTGATCAGTGAGATGGCTATCTGAAAGTGAGTGGTGATCAGTGAGATGGCTATTTGAAAGTGAGAGGTGATTAATGAGATGGATATCTGAAAGTGAGAGGTGATCAATGAGATGGCTGTCTGAAAGTGAGAGGTGATCAATGAGATGGCTGTCTGAGAGGTGATCAATGAGGTGGCTATCTAAAAGTGAGAGGTGATCAATGAGATGGATATCTAAAAGTGAGAGGTGATCAATGAGATGGCTGTCTGAAAGTGAGAGGTGATCAATGTTTGAGATGGCTGTCTGAAAGTGAGTGGTGATCAATGAGATGACTGTCTGAAAGTGAGAGGTGATCAATGAGATGGCTGTCTGAAAGTGAGAGGTGATCAATGAGATGGCTGTCTGAAAGTGAGAGGTGATGAATGAGATGGCTGTCTGAAAGTGAGAGGTGATCAATGAGGTGGCTATCTAAAAGTGAGAGGTGATCAATGAGATGGATATCTAAAAGTGAGAGGTGATCAATGAGGTGGCTATCTAAAAGTGAGAGGTGATCAATGAGATGGATATCTAAAAGTGAGAGGTGATCAATGAGATGGATATCTAAAAGTGAGAGGTGATCAATGAGATGGATATCTGAAAGTGAGAGGTGATCAATGAGATGGATATCTGAAAGTGAGAGGTGATCAGTGAGATGGATATCTGAAAGTGAGAATTGGTCAGTTAGGTGGCTATATGAAAGTGGGAATTTGTCAGTGAGGTGGCTATCTGAAAGTGAGAATTGGTCAGTGAGGTGGCTATCTGAAAGTGGGAATTGGTCAATGAGATGATTTTCTGAAACTAAAAGTGGGATTTGGTCACACTGAGGATTGAGATGGCTATCTGAAACTAAAAGTAAGGATTGGTCACTCTGCCTCAAAATGGCTGAATTTGAGGGTTGGTCACAGGACAGCCACTTCAGTTTTATAGCTATAGACGCGCAATGCTTGTACATGTTTCATATAACATATCCAAATGTAATTTACAGATAAACTGAGAGTTCAGTCTTTCAAATATTGCTTTATAAACTGTAGCTTTGTGTCAGGGCTGTTTTACAAGTAAATGTGATCAAATCTAAATCCATAGTTGGTTTCCGCTGATTAAATAATTTATTTGTGTTTTGTCTCATCCATGTATCTAGACATCTCGATAACGATGGATCATATAAGTAAAGGAATTTTTTTTAAAAATACACAAGTGCCGCATTGTACAAATAATGCCCGCCTTATAGCTTTGTATAGACCAACTGGCATACGGTGGGTCAACATTACATTGGTCACCTTTTCTTCCCAGGATAGTACTTGGTAACTGTGGTAGGCTGGGTTGATTGTCAGATTGAATTTGGAAGAAGAAAATCTGTCTAAATGCGGATTCAATTCCATGACTTTTGGGCCAGCAAGCAAGAGATGGATGTGTTCAAGTTTGACTTTGGGGCCAGCATGCAAGAGATGGATGTGTTCAAGTTTGACTTTGGGGCCAGTAGGCAAGAGATGGATGTGTTCAAGTTTGACTTTGGGGCCAGCATGCAAGAGATGGATGTGTTCAAGTTTGACTTTGGGGCCAGCATGCAAGAGATGGATGTGTTCAAGTTTGACTTTGGGGCCAGCAGGCAAGAGATGGATGTGTTCAAGTTTGACAACAGGAAAGAGATGAATGTGTTCAAGTTAAAATCTCAAGCAGATTTTCAGAGGATAAAGAAATAAAAAATATTATATGTAAAAAATCTGAGGTGAGACAGAAAAGCTCTT